AAAAAAAGGCCGAGGGGGCGGGGTGACACACACCTTTAATCCCAGCAGAGGCCTTTGGATCTCTGTGAGTTTGAGGCCAATCTGGTCTACATAGCAAGTTCCAGGCCAGGTGGAGACACAGGGAGATACTTTCTCAAAAATAAACCTTAAGAGGCAGATACTAGAACATTCAACAAGACAAAAGGTTGACCAACGAACTGTCTAGCACATTCTCCCTAAGAGACATGCCCTTCTGGCTGTGGACCAACTGAAGCAGAATACAGTCAAAGGTCCAAGGGTGTCATTTTGAATATGCCACTGCTCTGAAGTGTTGTGAGTTTGTGTGTCAACCTTGGGGCTGAAACGATTCATTATGCAGACTCATAACGGTGGGCAGGACTGAACATTGTTAGGACCTCTTTCCAAAAACGAGTAAAGAAAAGCACAGTCCACTCGGAACGGGTGGTGTTTTTCTTTCGTAGAGGCAAGTGAACCGGGAAGGAGTCAACGCTAAAATAAATGGTAGGGAAACTGACAACCGCTCAGCCCCTCTCTCTGCTTCCAGAAGCACAGAAAAGAGGAAGGGGTTCCAGACTGGTGAGCGTAATAAACCAGCAACGTGGGACCCGAACAGGACGGCACAGGCCCCTACCTCAACCGTCACAAATGGGGGCGACTACAGGAAGACGCTGGGCCTGCCCTGCCGCTACTCCCGGGAGCCTAGAGACCGCCGGCATCAAGCAGCGGCCGCTGGTGTGAGGTGGGTGAGGGGCTGCCGCTCTGCTGGGGTCCCGCGGGGGAGAGGGTGAGCAGGCCTGGCCTTCGGCGCCGAGGCAAGTGTGGTCCCGCAGGCAGGACGCCCCCAGCCCCGAGGGCCTGGCCGCGTGCCGGGTGACAGGGAGAGAAAGGCAAGGGCCACGGCGGCCGACAGCGCGAGTCCCCAGCAGCACAGCCCAGTCGGTAGCCCGAAACTGACCTGCGCTTGGGGAGTCCATCGCCGGAGACCATATTATCCCTGCGGGGAGGGGGCCTGTAGGGGAGGGAGGGGGAGGCCAGGCCGAAAAGATAGGGAGGAAGGCAGGAGAACTGGCAGGGGAAGGAGGAAGGAAGCAGTCTCGTGCAAACACCGCGAGAGCCGCGGAGCTGGCCGGGTCTGAGCTCGCGGATTTGTCACTAGTCTCGCGAGATCTCCGGACAAGAAACAAAGAAAGAAAGGGGCGGGGCTAGTTAGGGAGGGACGCTAGCCGGTGGGCTGTAGTAGCGTAGGCGGTCCTTCGAGCGGGGGCAGAACCCTGGGAGACTAACTCTGGGGGCGCTAGCGGGGCCCAGCTGGAATCCGTTACTCAGTTGTTAGCTGGAAGTGTTCTATGACATTTTTTCAGTTCCAGAGTGTGTAGCTTTTTGCGGGGTGTCTTCGGGAGGAAAGGGTGAGGAGGAAGTTAACCTGTGGTCTTGGGAAACCGACTCCTGCAGTCTCAAGAGAAGGTGATCCGACTGCCCTGGCCTGTAGTCTTCGAACGATTGTGGAATGAATTGAATGTTCCTCACTCTTCTGCACAGAAGCTTCAATTCAGCTCAACTTGAAACCTCATTTCTTGTTTATTGACCTTTCTAGTTGTTTCCTTTATTACTACCTGGGTCTAGGCAACTGTGACAATCTTCTCAGAAAGTCTCTAGAACATGAAAACACTTAAAAAAACTCTATGTCCATGAAGGTGAAGCAAAATCAGAAGGGACCAATTCAACTACCAAGAGACTGACTCAGGATTTGAACTCTATTCATATGTATATAAAAGCTCACATTTAACTTAGACATTCATGATCTGATATCTCATACTGAACTTTAGGCAGAATTGCTTATTGCCTCTGCAATACCCCAGTCTGGTTTTTTTGGAACATTACTATGCACTATTGAGCTAACCCCTACTCATTCTTCAGGACTCAGACTGATTTTTATTGTTTTTAGATTTTTAATTATGTATATGCTTGTGTATATCATGCTGGTGCGCTTGGAAGCCAGAAGAGGGATGGATCCCCTAGAACTAGAGTTACAGGCAGTTGTGAGCTGCCTAGTATGGGTGCTGGGAACTGAACTTGGGGTCCACTGCAAAAGCATTAAGTGCTTTTAACTGCTGAGTCTTTTCTCCAGCCTCATAGTTTTTATTGTTCAATTGGGTCTTCTTTGGTCTTTTTGAGACAGGGTCTTCTTGTAACCCCAGCTGGCCTGGGTGGATAACTCACTGTGTGGAGAGACTGGGTTGGCATTGATCTCACAGAAATCCATCTGTCTCTGCCTCCCAAGTCCTGGGATTAAAGGTGTGTGCCACCACACCAGGATAATTGGGGCTTTTTTTGTTTGTTCTGGTCCTGGTCTAGGGCCTTCCATGAGCTAACCAAATGCTCTACCACTGAACTATATCTCCAGCCCTTGATTTTTTGAGACAGCCTTGCTTTGTAGTCCAAGATGACCTTGAACTCATGATGTAAAACAATACAATATCCAAATGAGGAAATTGACATTGAAGCAATCCTTTCATCTTATTCCTGTTTCAGTAGTTATGCATGCACATGTTTGCAGTTTGTGCATGTGCATGGCTGTACACCTTCATGCTTAGTTCACATGTAGAGATTTGTATATGTATACCTCAACACAATGTACATATTTCCAAGGATCTTTCATGTTGTCCTTTTATAATCAATAAACTGTTTCCTCCTACACTGCTACTTCATCTATTGGTTTAGAAAATAATCTATTTTACTTTCTGGATGTTATATAGAAATGGAATCGTACAGTGTGTTTTCATAAGACACTTTTTCAAGTCACATTTCCAGTGAGATATTTAGTTGCAACCTGCGTTTGAAGTCAGCCTTGGCTACATGAGACCCTATTTTTTTTTTAAAAAAAAAGGAGGGTGCTGAAGAGATGGATTAGTGGTTAAGAGTACTGGCTGGTCTTTCAGAAGACCCAAGTTCGATTCCCAGCACCCACATGGCATTGTGTGGAGAGATGGCTTAGCAGTTAAGAGCACTGGCTGCTCTTGCAGAGAGCCTGGGTCCTGTTCCCAGCCACCCACATGGCAGCTAACAAGGGTTCTTAACTCCAGTTTCAGAGGGTCTATCACACCCTCTTCTCACCTCTGGGGACATTACAGGACAGAGGCGCACTTACGTGCAAGCAATATACTCATACACATAAAAATAAAAATTTTTAAAGGCAAGATGAATTATAAGAATTTTTCTTATACATTTTACCTACTTTTTTTACTGTTAACATTTTGTCACTTTTGCTTAATCTTTATATAATGCTTACAGCATAATGAGAGCCTCATTTTTTTTTTTTTGAGGTAGGGCCTCATGTGGCTCAGGGTGGCCTATGAACTGTTTTTGTAGCCAAAGATGACCTTGAACTCCTGATTCTCCTGTCTCTGCCTCGGCACAGGCATGGGACACTATAGCCAGATTCTATGGTGTTTAGGCATGCTAGGCAGGAACTTTTATCAACTGAATTATTTAATTTTTTCTGAACCATTTCAGAGATTATGACTCTGTAGCTCTAAATATTTCATTATGTGTCTCCTGAAAACAAGAACAGTCTCTTATTTAACCACCAACAACAATTAAATTTAAGAAACTTAATATCAAGCCAGACTTGGTGGTGTATGCCTGCCTTTAATCCTAGCACTTGGGAGACAAAGGCAACCTGATCTCTGTGAGTTCAGGGCCAACTTGATCTACACAGTGAGACCCTTATCTCAAAAAGCATTGATATAATATTAATAATATTTAAATTTTATTCATTTGAATAGTTAAATATTATGAATGTTCTGTAGTTAAAGCTGACATTTATAATCAGTACTCAAATTTTGCCAGTTGCGGTTTCAATTGCTATGTAGCCCTGGCTGGTCTGATGTTCACCATATAGCCCAAGGTAACCTCAAACTTATGAAAATCTTCCTGTCTCAGCCTCCTAAGTACTAGATTACAGACATGAGCCACCATGTCCAGCTAATACTGTTTTTCTAGAAACTTTTTTCCCATCACAAATCTAATTCATGATGAAGCATTGTACTAAGATGTCATGTCTGCCTAACCTATAACTTAGAAGAGCGCCTTACATTTTTTTTTTTTTTTTGTCTTTTTGAAGCAGGGTCTCCCTGTAGCCCCAGCTGTCCTGGAACTCACTGGCCTTGAACTCACAGAGATCCACCTGCCTCTGCCTCCCAAGTGCTGGGACTACAGGCATGCGCCACCATGCCCAGCCTACCTTTTTTTTTTTTTTTAATATAGGGTCTCTGTAGCCCCAGCTGACCTGGAACTCACTAGGCTGACCTTGAACTCACAAAGATCTGCTTGCCTCCACTCCTGAGTGCATCACCATGCCTGATCTCCTTAGCTATTTTCTTTGGTGTTATTGACATTCTTGAAGCATCTGACCAGTTCCTTTACAAAATGTTCTGTAATTGGAGCTTGTCTAATTCTTTCTTCATGATAAGATGTGTCAGGTGAACCTAAACTTTTGACATTGCAAAACAACATTGTCATCTACAAAGTTCAGCTCTGAGAGTTCACACAATCAGGTACCAAACAAAAAAATCATAATACTTTATTTATTTACAATTTTCAAGCTTTATAATGTTAAAGAATGTAAGCTATAAGAAGTAAGGCATTACTAAGGGAGAAATGTTTTAAAAGAGGGAGGTAGTTAAGGGGGAAAAGGACTATACAAAGAAATATGGGAATAAAGGGGAAGAAGGAGCTCAAAAGAGGTGGGAACATAGTATACAAAAATTATCAAAGGAGAAATGGGGAAAATGGTGATGCTTTAAATGGGAAGGGCGGGGAGGGAGGATAAGACAGGGAGAGAAAGAGAAGACATAAATAGTGCCTAGCTAATATAAAAAACCAGAGGGACTCATATTAGTCCAAAAAGCTACTGAAAAAAATTATACATACAATATCTCTACATGAGTCCGTGAGCATAGCTGAAGACTATATAACACGAAACAGTGCTGGGCAGGAGAAACCTTCCTTTGAGTTGTTGGCCAGGGTAGTCCAAGAGACTCCCAAAATTACACAGGCTATTGCCTCAGTCCTTGATTGCCTCCCAGAACTAGATGGTAAGACCCTATGGCTGAAGACAGAATGTATATACTTTGGACACAGGATTTGAAGCAATGGAGCTGGAACTGACCTGGAAGCCACCTCCCCTGAAGGGTAGCTCTCATTGCTTGGATAGTTCTCTGCAAGCTGGTATATCAATCAATGGTTCAACCCTAGCTTAAAAGCCTAAAAAACACATCAATCACCAGCACAGAGAATGACATTGCTACAGTAGTGGCACTTTTATCTTGGGGGAATCAACAGCTACCTAATTGAACTTAAAACCCATTCAGTGGGAGGAAACTCATGTCTGTTACTGTAAACCTAGCCAAATACACATAGCTAGAGAGGTCATAGATCTTAGAGAAAACCCAAGGCTGTCACATTCACATCCCTAGACAATGAATTTTTTTTTTTTTGTCTTTTTAAGACAGGGTCTCCCTGTAGCCCCAGCTGGCCTGGAACCTGCTTTGTAGACTAGGCTGACCTTTAACTCAAAAGGGATCTTTCTGCCTCTGCCTCTCAAGTACTAGGATTAAAGGCCACCACACCCAGCCATAATTCCTTGCTGTGTGCAAAATATGGATTGTTAAATTTACAGACATGTATCCCCATCACCACCCATCAAAGTAGCTTCTTTTTCAACAGAAAGAGATTATTACAGAGTTAACCACTGGTCACACAAAGAGATTCTCTATGAATGGCCCATGCCTAAGTGGCACATAGAACAATGGATAAAAAGAACTCTAATAATACATTTTTCAGTTCTCATCAATGAAGCTCCCTCATACAACAGAGGGCCAGAAATACAAAAGGCCACAAATGGCCAAAATGCAGAGAATAAGAGTCAGCAGTGTAGGTCCTTAGACAGGTCTCCTATATTGGGGTCCACCCACATAGAGGTGCATGACCATACAGAAATAGTCCCACAGGTGCCTGAGACTCTTCTCATACAAACCTTCAGCAATGGTGTCAGCATGCACAAGACCCATGCAAACTTAAGCAGACGAAAACCCAGCATAGAACT